GTATCGTTTCAGGTGATATTACAGTTGACTGTTATCGCCATAATTTTATTTTGATGGTTTATGTGAGACGTAGACGAAAAACATCTTTTATAACCATAGGCGGCCCAGAAATTTGTTACACGTATGTATGTTCTCGCAGTGCAATATATTCCATGACTTATATGCAATGTTTGTCACGCGCGCTTTCTCGCGTGAGTTACACGTATGTATGTTCTCGCATTGCAGACTGTCTAAATTTTGGTAAAAGCAATAGAAAGCAATGGAGCTTGCGCGAGATAGCGCGCGTGACAAACATTGCATATAAATCAAGGAATATATTTGCTAATTAAATCGATTGCATAAAAAACCTGAACAGATTTCTAGGCCGCCTATTCTATAACGACAGCTTTCATTGTTCGTGTGTCTGCCAAAAGTACAAAAACAAAACAATATAAAAATTGTCACGTAAAAATTGCTTATATAAACCTGCAAAGCTGAAAAAACATTGTGCAATTTAAATATCGAAACTTTTAGGTTGAATTACGTTTTGTAACTAAAGAGTTCTACACAACAACTACCTAAGGTATCAATTGCATTGTACAAGTTTCATCCCGAAGATCATAAAGCCGTAACTGAAAAGCATCAAGATCTTAAACTACATAATTATTTATTACATCATTAAGGCAGAGTCAAGCAAAAGTTACCTTAAGGCATGTTAAAGGGTCCATTCGTGGTTTCGGACATGGCATTGAACAAATGAGACCATTTGTGTTACAGCAGTTAAGTCGCATCCAAATTTTGGATCCAAGTTTGCGGATTCCACAGACGCAATTGTCTAAGCAATACGTAATCAAGCATATCAAGGATACAATCAAGGATACAATCAAGCATACAGGAAGATAAATAACCCAAACGATACAGCAGAAGACCTCAATTATCAATTGGCATCCAGCTTTGAAACATGAAATCGGACTTTGTTCTTTTCCTTTTTCTTCTATTATTCTTCTTTCGTTTAAGTCTTCTTGATCCATGGAAGATAATAAAGGTATGTGTTCCGACGACACTATCAAGGTCTGTTTTCAATAAAAAAAATCCGTCACTATGGCAATACTGTTATGTTAACATTTCTCCTGCGCATGACTTGCACCTTATACGTATATTCCCAGCATATCTTCCATGTCTGAGTAAATGTTTGACTGTCTGAGGCAAATTATGGGAATGGAAAAATATTGCACTGGAATGCTAATAAAGCAGCAAAAGTAGCGAATGTAACTTAAATGTTACATGTTTGTAAATGTAGATCGTCCAGGTTGGTATAGTCCTGAGAAGGACTGTTTTGTTGTTATTGACTGACGTTTCGAGAACCTTAGCGGTAGTCATCTTCCGAGTCAAAATCGACATTTACAAACATGTAACGATACTCCCGGGTTCAAACCATTTTCACCCGGGAGTTTATCATAACTTTGTTACTGAAATGTCTTGTGCACAAGCGCATAAAATTCTTCATTTTTTTTTTAAATGTTGCCTTTTCTGCCTTCAAACATTTAGAGTACATGAATAATTATTCCTATGACCTCATGCGAAGAATATAGCTATTTTGACGAGTATTAGGTATATGTTAAATGCAGCAAATATTTTTGTTTATCGTCAAATTTTATCAAATTTTTGCATTAACGAATTTCGTTCCGTTTCAACAATCCTATATCGAAAAAGCGTCGAGGAAGAATTAGAGGGAAACCTGTGTCGCAGGAAATCTCCTCCCCTTCATGAAAGAGTATGTGTTAAAAGAGACATGAATGTGCCTTGATTGCCAGGAATGGACATGAATGTGACAAAAACTTTAACTTGAGACATCATTACAATGTACAAAGAAAGTTTAAAAACATAAATGCTAATTCACATATGATTGAGACATGACTGATGCATTATTTAGGGCAAGCCTGAGTTGCTTTCTGATCTTGTGGCTGAAGCAGGAGTGAGGCATGTCTGCGATGCTTTTCAATGACATAATTCAAATCGCCGTTTGACAACAAAACTTTAGCGGCAGTTTGAATTTGACAAAATAGTGCTTCGTAATTTGAAAATAGCGTTACTATTAGCAAATTAAGCTGCCCTTTTAACAGTCATTTCAAATACATCAAAGATGGGAGAGCCGCCTAAAAAAAGAGAATTATTTGGATTTTACTTTTTGATTTTTGTACTCTGGACACGATTTATCATAAATAGCCCGATAGTTGCGTATTGTATCCATAAGTTTTTATTTTTATAGTGAAGTGATCGGAATTTTTCCATTGAGTCTTTTTTTTGCTCCATGTCCTGTGTTGAAAATTCATCCGCCATCTTTTTACCCAAATGCGTGATGGGAACTCAACTCATCTCTTACGGCATTTCGGCGGCATACCACAAGTAACTCCTACGGCTGCCTGAAACACCATTAGTGTGTCAGCGATGAGTGTCCTGTGTTGAAAATTCATCCGCCATCTTTTTACAAAAATGCGTGTGGGAAATATTGCCACCGGTCAATCTGAGAAGCGTTCACATATAACATAAATAACCAAGATAAGTTCTGTACACCGCTGTTTAGCCGCCGACATGCCGGGAAACTTGAACACAACTCAACTTTTACGGCATTTCGGCGGTATACCGCAGGTAACTCCTACAACTGCCTGAAACACCATTAGTGTGTCTGCGATGAGTTTTTACATTTGCCTTAAGAGCAACGCAGGCATCGTCACAGGTATGCCTCAGTCAAGTCTCAGTCATGTGTGAACCAGGCTTAATGGTGTTCAAATTCATCAATTTCTAAAAGATTCCTATTTGTTTGAATTTGTTATTATGTTCAATGATCATGAATTATGCATTAATTCAGACTTTCAAGTAAACGAATATCCATTACAAACATGTGTTCAAAATTGATTTGAAAAACTTGGAGAAATTTTAACGGAAGTTAAAATGAGCACATTATTCCACTAAAGAACTTCTTATCAAGAATGTCATACCGTAAATAATTTATTGTCAAAAAGATCAACATTTCATTTCCTATGTTTTTGAATTTTCATAATATTTTCAAACGTCACCGAGATTCTTTTTTGTTACTTTCCATGTAAAAAAAATTGATGCATTTAACGTAAACAACAACTTTTTTTAAATTTTTTATTCCAAACATGTTTCGGCAAACTTATGCCATCTTCAATGCAGTTTAATGAATGAATACTTGAGTGGAGTTAATATATAAAAAAATCTGATACAAGACATGTGTATAGACAAAAGGGGTGGAAGCGGAAGTTATTTATAATTATGTAGTGATTAGAGGTGTTAAGTATTTACAAGTTGAAGACAGTATTGACATGATGAATTTGTTTGTTAAGATTAGGCTTGAGTTTTTTGATGTGCAGTGCTTCTTTTAGTTTTAAACAAGAACGAGTGTGGGCACTGTCTAATATACGAACGCAGGATTGTGAGTATTTAGATTTGCAGTGAGGTGATGAGAGCAGGTGTTTGAATATGTGAGAGTTTTTATCGGAAGTGGTATGCTCTATAATCCGTGTGGAGAGGTGGCGGCTGGTTTCGCCAATGTAGCGAGAATTACATCCCGCACAAGAGAATTCGTAAACCGGACTTTAAGAGGAAAGCGATGGTGTCTTTGTAGAGGAAGAAGTTTTTGATTGTAAAAGAAGAGATTACTAGTTTTATGTCTAAGTTTGTGCAGTAAAGTCTGACCAAGTTATGTAGTTTTTGTTTGTGATTTGTGAGTAGTGGCCAATGTAAGGTAGCTTGAAATAATGGATTTGGGGTTTGGCTTGTGTGTGGTCTTGTTCATTGTTAGTTGTGCTAAAGTTAGTGTTGTTGTTAAATGTTTTAATTACATGAGTCATGTATTAACTCCATTCAAATATTCATTATACCGCACTGAAGATGGCATAAGTTTGCCGACATATGTTTGCAATAAAAAATTTAAAAAAATTGTCGTTTACGTTGAATGCAGCATTTCAATCGTGCTATTACGAAACTATAAAAAAAATGATTCTACAATGTCATCAGTCACGTCACTATGGAGTCACATGTGAAGCGCGCGTCGCTTGTCGAGAAGTGCAATGCGTGTTCGTTGATCCGAGAGGAACAAATACACACTTAAGTTATATAATTCCTAACACTTTAGAAGAGGACAGGTAACTAATCGTGAATATAACCATATTTTAGAATTCTCCTTATTTCAACATTTGCCATTTAGCAGGTATGACTAACATTGAAGAAACATCTAAGGACATAGAAGACATATCAGCGGGCAAACAACAGCCTGATACTCAAACTATTACTGAAGAGTTAGCTGAACTGAAATCAATGGTACGTATCATGTAGCAGCATCGTCAAACAAGGGATGATACAAACTCAACTCAACAACCCGACGTTGAGGAAAACCATAATAGCCGACATAAACGGCGCCGATCGAACTCTACTTCGACGGACAGTGAAGACGATATCCGTTATGAGAAAAACAGAAAATTAAAATCTTACAAATCAGTTAATGATACTACACATGAAAACAACTCGAATGAAAATGACAAAATAAGCGTTTGTGCTGATGAACTCGACGATGATAATATCTCTGAGCTTATTGACGATGATAAAACAGAAACAAATGCAAGTTCAGCCGATGACACACTTCAATAGCTGGCTGAAATATTTGACGACTTGGAGCCCACAGGAGATGATATTAAACCACATCTTGCAACCATTGTCGAGAAAAGGTGGCAGAAAAGGTAGTAATGCTTGGACACATCAGCCATGAACTGGCAAGTGTTCGCAAGAATAAAATAAAATGTGTTCTAAAACCAGATTATTGCCCCCATCTGCTCAGATAACGGCGAATGCAGCAAATTGCTCTTTTGGGATGACTTACCGAAAAGATTGAAAGAAGCAAAAGAAAGGAGAGATGTAAGTCAGGTAGTCAAATACAATCAACCTCGATCAACCCCATCTCGCTCATATAATTTAAAAAATTAAGATAAACGACATTTGACAGATTGTTATATGCAGCGCGGTGTTTGAAATTAAATGAAAATATGATCTTCGAACTTTGCAGGACAATTTAAGCAATTGTCTTTTAAGACAATTGTCAATTTAAGACAATTGCTTAAATTCTCCAGCAAAGTGCGAAGATCATATCTTCATTTAATAAACGACATTGGCGCCAACATGGATCAAATTATGAAGGTGGAGCGAAGTCGGATTTTCACAAGCGCGGGAAGATATACTTCCCAAAGAAAAATGTGAAACGACAAATACACAAGAAATAATTCACCAATTACAACATATGAAAAGTACATCGGTAAGCAAATGGGAGAATTTTATTCCAAAGTTAAAGAAACCTCTTAATTACTTTATGTGACAGCTGCACAGCGGGCAGAATAACAAATCACTTTTCCACATGGACCGATATTACATCTGACAAAGAGATCCTATCTAATGTAAAAGGTATGCCAATCGATCTGTCGGAAACGCCTTACCAACATCACTTTTGCCCAACAAACTTCAACGAAATTGAATTGTTGCAAATAAAAACTGAGATTGATAGAATGATTGCTAAAAACATAATTGAAACCGTACAACACGAATCAGATGAAATTCTCTTAAATATTTTCACTAAAGTGAAAAAAGACGGCACACATAGGGTCATACTAGATCTAAAAGTTTTTAATAGTTTACTCTTATTTTCATTTCAAAAATGGACTCACTAACTACGATCACTAAGCTTGTTGAACAAAACTGTTACATGTGTAGTATTGACATCAAAGACGTCTACTACTCTATCCCCATAAAATACACTGAAAGGAAATACCTGAGATTCCACTGGAAGGGTGCTTTATATCAATTTACGTGCTTGCCCAACGGCTTATCTAGTGGACCACGGAAGTTCACAAAAACTCTAAAACCCCCCGTAGCTACAACGCACTCAAAAGGGCACATCGTCTCGGGAGATCTGGATGATTTCTATTTACAAGGGAAAACTTACGATGAATGTCAGAACAATGTGATAGATACAGTGACTTTATTCTTAGTGCATCCAAAAAAAATTGATATTTATCCCTTCCTGGAAATTGATAACACTGGGATTTGAAATTAACTCCGTCACAATGACTGTGAAATTAACAAAAGAAAAGGTCTCAGCAATAAAAACAGATTGTATAAAATTTATAGAGAAAGCGAAATGGGGAGTAAAAATTAGAGACACGGCCAAAATTGTGGGTAAACTAGTATTAAGCTTTCGTGGTGTGTTACAGGGACTCTTAAACTACAGAAATTTAGATAGGGACAAAACATCTGCACAAACTTTAAGTAAGGGAAACTTTGACACATATATGATGGTTTCTGCTGAAGCCTTTGTTGAACTACATTGGTGGTCGAATAATGTGATGAATACCATTAAACCCATTTCTTTTGGGGAACCGTCGCTTACTATTACGACAGACCCTTCAAACAAAGGTTGAGGGGCAGAATCACAAGGCATTAGCAAAGGAGGCCTATGGTCACACCTAGAGATAAAAGAACACATAAATTACTTAGAGTTGTTTCCTCCTACATAGGACTACAAACATTTGCAATCCTATTTGTCAATTTGTCGGGATGGTCAAATGCTACTACGTTTGCAACGTACTATGAAAAATATGTTGATACAGAAACTTTTGGTAAATAGTTACTGTTGAAAGATATCACAACAAATCTGGCAACTCTACTCTGTTTACTAACCGGACAACGATGCCAGACTATACACAAAATTAACTTAAATTTCATACAATTTCATGATGAAGAGTGTACGATCACGATACGTGAAATACTTAAACACACAAAGGCAGGAAAACACCAACAACCTATAAGATTACAAAGCTACCCAACAGATAAAAAACTCTGCATCATAAAGTACCTTAGACAATACATAACTCGTGCTGAAACTTTAAGGGGAGAACAATTGCAACTCTTTATCAGTTTCACCAAACCTTACAATTTTTGTGACCAAAGACACCATTGCCAGACCAGATGGGTCAAGCAACTTTGGAAAAGTCTGGAATCAACACCAAGAAATTTACATGCCACAGTACTCGGGCTACCTCAACTTCATATGCTAAAACAGCTGGACTAAACTTGAGACAAATCATGCTATCAGCGAGATATTCAAATGCTACCACGTTTCCAACGTACTATGAAAAATATGTTGATACAGACACTTTTGGTAAAGTGGTACTAGACAGTACAGAAAACAATGAAACTTTGCATGCTACTAACAAAATTTTACCATAAGTTAACTTTTATGAGGTTCTGTTAAATACACATAAAGTGGGGTACTTTATTAATATTCTCTCGAACTGAGTCCTCTCTATAATACATTATTGATTGATGACATTGCATCTAACATATCAATTCCCATCTCGCAGCCGCAGAGCTTTGAAATCTCATGTGACTAGTGACGTGACTGATGACGTTGTAGAATTCTTAAATTAAACGAGACTTACCTGTAAGTTGATGTTTGATTAGAATTCTACTAGTCATCAGTCAGAAACGAAGGAGTCACATGTCCTGCACTACCCATCCCTCCCGTGACTCCTTCGATTCCTTAATTTCGGCAATTGCTTTCGTTGAAAAACTGATCGACAAGCGACGCGCTCGCGCTTCTCATGTGACTCCTTCGTTCCTGACTGATGACTAGTAGAATTCCAATCAAACATCAACTTACAGGTAAGTCTCGTTTAATATAAGAATTATGTATCAACTATCAGTCGTCTTGAAAATAACACCAAGTAAATTTGAAGTAAAAGAAAATGCGTTTAAAACGTCAAATTTAATTCAGATATTAAAGTTCAAATCAAAAACGTCATAATTGCTTATAACAATTCAATGCAAATTGCGTAGCATTGAGAAAAGCGGCATTTTGCGATGGTGTTATCATCACATATGCCCATTTTAAATATCATGTGAAAATAGTCCAAATTTGCCAATGAGGTTGAGAACGACATCAAGAACTATTCAGACTGAAGTCAAATTGTTTCATTGTACAATATAAATGCAGAAGCTTTCAATATTTGTATAGAAGTCATAAAGTCTTCGATACTTTGACATGTACCGCTTTTTGTGTCTTTTTTACGTCTTTTTTCAATAATTCGAATAAAAGCAGTTTGTAAAACGCTTAAAAATCTCAAACAAGATTCCCACCGAATACTTCTTACGATGTCGTTAGCCACAATGAAAATTGCGTCACCTAAATTAATTTCGGTTTGCTCGATCTCTGTCAGCATTTTATCAGTTTTAGCTATAAGAGTATCTCAAAGAGCACATCTTTGATGACATTTACAATCTGACATTTAGAATCTGACAATCCTATGAAGAGTCGTAAACGCAGTTGAATACAATAATTTATACGTATTTAAGCTAAGTTATTTTGTATCTTATCTTTATTTCAAGCTGTTTCTTTTAGACTGATCTCTTTAAGCAAACATTTTTTGGCTTTTGCTTGCCAGCTTCTGAGCTTCAGAAGTGCGACTAAAGTTCACAATAGTTCTCATTTTCGACATTTTTTAACAAAGTGGCTATATTCACTGCTGCGTAAACGGACTTTGCTAGGCTGTATAATTTACAGTAGTGTTATGAAAAACTTAAATAATGAAAAAATTTCGATATTACTACAACTTTAAAAGGCTTGTGTAGTTTAGTGTAAGTGTTATGGATTTGGTAAGATGCGATGTAGGGTTTGAAACCAACTTCCGCCATCATATTTTGTTAAAAATGATAAATATTTATTTCTTCATAAAATGAACTTTATCTTTAATTTTTTTTCAATAAAAGAATATATCTAGGAAAAGCCTCTTTATGAGAAAGTTTTCTGTATTTCATTTAATATTTGTGTATTTCTGTATTTGTATACTTATTATTTGTGTATTGCACATTTGTGAATTTCATATATTATTTGCAACTGGCGTTATACATACTATGGTATAAAGTATTAAAAACAAGCAATAAAAGTACATATTAACCAACCTTAACAATCTTAAAATTTGGACTTTCTTCTTTTATTTTCTTATTTGGGTGCAGAAAATGCGGACGAAAATGTAGTTTAGTGATCTTGATGCGACAAATCTCTTTTGGTAAATTAAACTGCACAATATTGACATTCCATTCTCTCCACGTCGTTACAGACGGTTAGTTCAATGATTCTACATATTTCATCAAAAATTCTAACAACAGTGGTGCGCAATGGTCTAATGTTAACTTAAATGAAGTGTACACACAATTTTAAAGTGAATAGTTTGAGCCCGGAGTGTCATAGTATGTTTTTAGATGTCCTTAAAAAAGGTTAACCCAACTACAGCACTTTGGTATTTGTTAAACTCTAAATTATCAATCAAACAAAGATACAGTTTTGAAATATTTAAAGACAATAGTGTTTATAGTCTTTGGAATTTTATGTTGCTTGATGCATTTACTAAAAAAGTAAGCAAGTGCAAGCTCCTGGAAGTTTTTGTAAAAAATTGCGCTCTTTCACAAATCACCATTGAGACTTGAGTATGAACGTTTTAGCCAACATTTTTGGTTAGCTACTTAATTAAGTATTGTATTGTCGATGTTTATGTAAAATTAGTCATTATGTAAACGTGCAAAGGGTATTCGACAAGGGAACTTTTCATAAAACTGCCAGTAAAATAGTAAGAAAAAACAAATAATTAGGAGTAAACAATCTCTGGGATACAAGATTCTAGCTCTTTCAGGGCATTTTTAAATATTGAACTATATAACTACTGGGACATTTACCCCAGCAAACTTTCCCCTGTAGTGAACTTCGATCGTGATATACTGGATCTTTTTCTAACCACAAAGGAGGGCTTTTGGTTATGAAATGTAACACATTATTATTGAAATTACTTCAAAGAAATATACTTAGCTGTGTGATAGATTAGTTGAAAATTTCATAAGAACTCAGCATAAATGAACTTATGACTCGTGAAAATTGTATCAGAATAATCTTACATAAGCACAAATAATACACGAAGTACATAATAGTCAATATTCAAACAAATGTTCATTCAAAATTGCGTGGAAAACAAAATACTAACATCTAATATAAACAGGTTTTGAAGTTAAGAATGTAAGTTGTTCGTGTCAATTTTACATTTAAAAATATGAATTAAGATAACAATTATGTCAGATGAGCGCTAATTTGGCTGCCTTCGTCCGATACTGGAATGATGCTGGAAAATTAATAATGATTTATAAGTGATGAGTTTAAATTAGAAATTGGTTCATAAACAACTTGAAGTCAATCCTTAATACAAAGTCCTCTACAGAGTCGATTCCTGATAGTATAGACCATTTTACCCTTATTTTCAGAGCTGTCATATTTGGACAGATTGTTAAAGATTTCTGGCAGTCATTTTCAAAAATAAATGTAAACAGTATAAATCATGTTGCTAATATTCAATATGTTGGTATAGCCATAGCCATGTAAATTTTGTATAGTATATAATATAGTTAACTATACTATGTACTCAGTAACAGTTTTTGTGTTGAGAAATTACTTTTGTTTAATAAATATATATCAAATGAGAATAAACACCTTTTAACTCAAGTTAATTTTATATTTGCTTGACAATGGGCCATTACACTCACTTAAGCCCCACTGAGCTCTTTGGAATCTTTTCTGATGGCTCAAAATAGTTCCTCTCCTTCTTTTTCAAAGAAATAAAAGCTAGACGCCGTATAGCCATCTCAAAACACTATAAAAAAGTTATTCATTAGAGATGCATCCATTGTTGTTGACCACTTTACCCAATAAATTACTCATCTTCTATAACTTGGTATAAAAGTCAATCCCATTCCATCAGTTAAAGATATTGGTTTTACTTTAGACAGTCCCTGTATTGTTAAAATTAGTGGTGAACATTGACTTCTTCAATATTTGGAGCAGCTATCTCAAGCGCGGATTTAGATATCGGATGTTGTAAAAAATATGGAGGATTTCGTCCTCTCCCGCTGAGATTTACCAAGAATGACTGCTTTTCCAAAAATTTCACAATTTTCCACTGCCCCCTTAAGAAAGGAGCAAGGAAAAAGTATGTGTAATATTTGGCATTTGGCATGCAATTTTTTGATGAAAATCAAGGTAAAAACCTATAATTCATAACAGCGAGTCAAATGTGGTTGCCAGTTTTATGCCTTTTATAACTATCGATGAAGGAGCTATTCGCCAGTCACATAAAAATGATGTGCGTTGTTTATTACCAGCTTAGTCAAATGAGAAACTTGTTCGCTCGCTGAAACTCTTTAGCCTATTGATGACTTGCCTTGTTTACATTTTTCTGGCAGGTTGATTGATCCAAAAAGAGGTTAACCACTGTTGCTCGTTTTGTCTTAAAGCACTCGACCAAATCTGCCAACCAGTAAAACGTATACTACGCACGTCATCTATACAAAAAAGTATACCATAGTTTATCTTTACCGTTCTAGAGAGAAAAGTTAGCTTGTTCGTTATCATTACTTTTTTGCCTGTTTTCTTGCATTGGGTGATGGCTTTTAAGCCAAAGTTGTACAATTTCTACTTGTTGCTTTAGAAGAATAACTTATAAATCTTTGGATAGTTACAGCTTGACTTATTTTATATGATTTTCGGTAATTAAATTTCGTAATAAATTTCAAAAACACACGAGTTTGTATAAGTTTGACGAATGAAAACAATCAATACTGTATATTAATCACTAAGTTACATTTTTGTTGTGTTCTGAAGTGCAACTGTATCAAATACCAGTACATGTAAAGTTCTTACACATTTTGAGTTCTTTGCCATCTATGAATTTTGACAATAAACTTATTGGAACCACTGTTCTCAGGTTTCGATCATTTATGTTCATTTCCAAATATACACAATTTTCACGCATTCCTTATAACGTTTGATGTCGAAAAGTCGCAGCAAACTTCTTCTAAAGACTATAAGGGCAAAAAAAGCAATTCCTTACTTGGCATTTATCGTTTTGATGAAGATTTTGTCTGACAATAACTAGTCACGGATAAGATAGAACCGAAGATAATAAAACCAAACGCTTGTTTAAAACGTTATCTCCGGTAGTCCATTGAAAAGACTGTTTTATGTAGGTAAATTTTGCAAGATTGTTATTTACTTCTTTAGAAATATATTGTTTTTACAGTGAGTAAAGAGAAAGATTTACATAGCACGACTAAACATGCAGGCTGGCTACTCACTAAACCACTGACATTCACAGTTTACACAGATACACCAAAAAAACTCAAGAGGTATGACATGTGTATCATTTTCCTCACAAAAATGAGAAAAACTAAGTAATTCTGGAATTGTGGGTGTAGTTTTATAAAATAAAAATTATGATGGGTGTCGTTACCAGTCTTTCAACGCAACGAAAAACACATCCATGAAACAAAAACATGCCAAAATCCTCGCGTGTCTGGATGTAAAATTTGGCTTTACTTTTTTTTATAGGCATTTCTATTACAGGTAGCGTTCCATGTATTTATATTTATTGTTACATGCTAACAGCTGATCGAGCCAGCAATGGAAGGCCACTAACTAGAATTCAGGATTGAAAACCAGTCGAGCGGTACCGTTGATACACTTTTTTCATTTCAATCTTTCAAGCATGGCGTAAATCGAATGTTAACATACATCCTAGTATGCTTGACTATTTTCTTCTCAAAACGATGTCACTTTCATAAGAAATCAGCCTGGCATAACAGAACAAATGAAAACAGTCTCACCCCATATTAACGTTTGTTTAAAGGCAGTTCTTTCAAAGATTTCTACTCAACTAAAGACTTCAAAAAAATTGTCACGACTTGATATGTACGTACATTTGTTCTTCAAATACTTTAAAAGTAGGGTTGCTAATGTTACTATCCTTAAATACTCACATCTTTCATGAGTTTTTAAAGATTACGATTTCTTCCCACTTCTTCGTGTTCTTTTCTAAAAACATGAGCAAAATTTTACAAACTCTACAACCACTGAGCTCTAAAACCATTGAACAAATTCTACAGCCAATGGAAAGCTCTACACAAGTTATGAACAAACTTTAATCTGATGTTTAAACACGAGTTCTTTTATACGCCAGTCTAGAGTCTTCATCAGGAGTGACCTCATGTTTAAAATTGAGTTCTTATGCACTCCAATCTAATGTTTTCATCAGGAGTGATCTGATGTTAAAACTTGTGTTCTTACATACCTCATTCTAGTGTCTCCATCAGGAGTGATCTGATGCTTACACACGAGTCCTTATATACTCCAGTCTAGTGTCTTCATCAAGATTGATCTGATGTTGACACTTGAGTTCTTACATACTTCAGTCTAACGCCTTCATCAGGAGTGACCTGATGTTGAACCCTCAGTTCTTATATACTATACTCTAGTCAAGTGTCTTCATCCGGAGTGACTTAATGTTTAAACTTTAGTTCTTATATACTCCAGTCTAGTGTCTTTATCAGGAGTGACTTGATGTTGAAACTTGAGTTCTTACATGTTTCAGTCCAGTGCCTTCATCTTGAGTGACCTGATGTTGAAACTAGAGTCTTTATATTCTCCGGTGTAGTGTCTTCATCACGAGTGACTTGATGTTGAACCTTGAGATCTTATGTACTCCAGTCTAGTGTCTTCATTAGGAGTGACCTGATGTTGAAACATGAGTTCTTACATACTTCAGTCTAACGTCTTCATAAGGGGTGATTTGATGTTGAAACATGAGATCTTATATACATCAGTCTAGTGTCTTCATCAGCAGTGACCTGATGTTGAACCCTCAGTTCTTATATACTATACTCTAGTCTAGTGTCTTCATCAGGAGTGATTTGATATTGAACCTTGAGTTCTTATATACTCTAGTCTAGTGTCTTCATCAGGAGTGATCTGATGTTGAAACTTGAGTTCTAACATACTTCAGTCTAGCGCCTTCATCTGGAGAGACCTTATGTTGAAACTTGAGTTCTTATATACTCTAGTCTAGTGTCTTCATCAGGAGTGACCTGATGTTGAAACTAGAGTCTTTATATTCTCCGGTGTAGTGTCTTCATCACGAGTGACCTGATGTTGAAACTTAAGTTCTTACATACTTCTGTCTAGTGTCTTCATCAGCAGTGATCTGATGTTTAAGCTTGAGTTCTTATATACTCCAGTCTAGTTTCTTCATCATGAGTGATCTGATGTTGAACCTTCAGTCCTTATATACTCTAGTCTAGTGTCTTCATCAGGAGTGATCTGATGTTGAAACTTGAGTTCTTACATACTTCAGTCTAGTGCATTCATCTGGAGCGACCTGATATCGAAACTAGAGTTTTTATATTCTCCGGTGTAGTGTCTTCATCACGAGTGACCTGATGTTGAAACTTAATTTCTTACATACTTCAGTCTAGTGTCTTCATCAGCAGTGATCTGATGTTTAAACATGAGTTATTTTATACTCTAGTCTAGTGTCTTCGTCAGGAGTGATTTGATGTTGAAACTTGAGTTCTTACATACTTCAGTCTAGTGTCTTCATCAGGAGTGACCTGATGTTTAACCCTCAGTTCTTATATACTCTAGTGTAGTGTCTTCATCCGGAGTGACCTGATGTTGAAGCTTGAGTTCTTATATACTCCAGTCTAGTTTCTTCATCAGGAGTGATCTGATGTTGAAACATGAGTCCTTATATTCTCCAGTCTGATGTCTTCATCTGGAGTGATCTAATATTTGATCTTTAGTTGATATAACTATGTAAATTCCAAGATCAATTCAGAAGACCATTAATCTTTTCTCAGGAATTTTCTCATATTTTGATTATAACAACCATACCAAATGCGTGCAAATTTTCTTTCATTGAAATCTCTCATAAGATCTAATAAATTTTTCTCCATTCGCTTAAGTTCGCTAGGATCCGTAAGGAATGCATGCTGTTTTACAGGATTTGCACTTTCACCTGCATCAGTTCTCACTGCTTTTCGCTTTTCTTTGCTACCATACATTTGCAGAATATCAAGAATTGCTATAAAAACAATTAGATTTACTAAAGACGAAATGTTCATCTACCAACTGCGCAAGCGCAAGAAGCTTCCTAAAAAATGTGTAAAACATAGATCAGGGGTGGGAACATACGGCCCGCGTGCCGGGGCCGGCCCCTGAAGGGATTTTGACTTGCCCGCCGACTGTATCCGTCCATATCTGTGATTAAGATATTGAATATTATTCTTGTAATAAAACGGCCCACCAATAACTTAATTTCCTAAGTCTGGCCCGCCGACTGAAGAAGTTGCCCACCCCTGACATAGATGCTTAACGCGTACGTTTCAAAAATGATATAATAGTCTCTGTAATTTAGCTTAGAAATTTAAGGTTTTCTTTTCTAGTCCATAGTACTTTTTCTGGGACTTAATTTTGGCTTTAGTTAAAATAAATATGGAGGAGACATACGACAAACTTCTCCTGTTTCTCCTAGTACTTCATTCTTCAACTCATCTTTCTTTGCCGTTAGTTGGTTCAAAGAATTTTTATTATTGGATAGAAAACAACATAGTAAATATTGATAAATAGTTGCAAAAAAACTTGTATTACGAGCTCAATGTCAATAGAAAATTGTTTTTGTTTTAGGAAGCTAAAATTTTTAGTCAACTAGTAATAACCTTTTTTATTAATTCATTCCTTATTTTATAAATGATTCCAAAAATGAGCTGCAGTTATTTGTTTTGATGTACGATGCGCGCAGTTATTACTGAAAAAACTGCGCAGCTTTGTCTAATTTCTCTTCAGTTCTTATTTTTACGTGACAACTTGTAATTCGCCAATGACAAGCCCCAACTTTATTTTTCCAATTGAATTTACTAAATCTCTACATCATCAATAAAAACTCGACATTAATTGTTTGATGTTATTTTACCACGTCCATGAACAATTAGTCGAGTGGACTGCTCCTGCTCGAGCGCATGCGTAGATGAATTCTCTATTAAACTGTTACTAAGCATGCTATTTACTTAAAATCGGTGCTACTAGATTCAGTTGGTTGTTGCCATGACCATGAACATGGGTAGCTGGAAAAGTTGACTGCGCATGCTCAAGCAGACTGCGTATGCACAGATGATGACTGAGCGAGCTTATTCCTCCATAATCGGTACTTGTACTGTATGTTCGTCTTTGCCTTGACCATGAACTTGGAGAGTTAGTGCAGGTGACCAAGCGTGCTAAGATTAATTCTCAATTAATTTGTTATGGAGCGAGCTCTTAAATTGGTGCCTGTATATGCCCTTAGCAATGCTTATTTTTGGCATGCTCTTTGTTTTTCTTAATATAAGCAGTGGTGTGGTAGGGGGAGCGCTTTGGGGAGGAGCCCCCCTTCTACTTTTGAAATTGGTAATTTTAAAAGGGCACTATTAACAAAAACGTCAAGAGAGCCCCCCTCTGATAAATTCATCTCTACAGCACTGAATACAAGGACTGCAATATGTGTTTGTTTTGCCTTTCTCATACCATAAACCTTTTTTTAGCCTTCTTTCATACACGGAGAGAAATTATAAAGAAGCAATGGTATAGAAACTTGTATTTTTTAGTATTTTTTCAGATGCACAAGACGAAGAGATGAAAAAACATAATAAAAAACAGAGCAGGTGTATTTGTGTGTGTTTTCCTTGCGTCATCAACTTTTTTTAGTGTTTGCTTTTAGATTCTAAAGTCAAAGGACGTAGATGAAGAACACAATCAAATTAAGATAGGCTTAAGTACATATTATTGTTTCTATCCAGTCGTTGACTTGCTCTTTATTCTTCATTTAGATGCAGGATATGGGGTCACTAACTTGTTCTTTGCTTGTTTTATTTTGATTAGCATGATCTAGCGTGACCAAACTTTTTTTTGCCGGGTTAATCTATTAAAGTTTATTTCTTCTATTTTAAATGTCGACAGTTCCATTATCAATATTTTTTGTTCAGATAAAGTCCTCGCCTTTCATTTTTAGGTGTTTGCAGAAGATCAGTATGAAATATTGAAATATAAGCAGAATAGAATTACGTGCATGAGCTAATTGAGCTTTATCAATATCAATCAATACACATCTAAAATTTACAAAGAAACTAAGCAGTGAAACTGGGTTTTCCAAACCAGGCTTAATTCTGCCACCTACTTTTGAAACCGCGCTGAAAAAATTTTCATAAAAAAAATTAAAAAATCATAATGTATAATACAGAAATTGTTTTGGGAGTGTTGTTGTATGCTTGAAAATGTATAGGTCGTCCAGGTTACTAAGAGGGACTCTTAGTAATGGAGTTTACGGACGTTTAGAAACGTTGAGATCAAATGAACATTAAATTTTTTTGTTAGTTGTCAGCTTTCTGCAGATTGTTTGACATATATATTTATAAGTGAGTACACTATTATTTGAGATTGGTCTTTAGATGCCATGTTGTTGGTAAACATTATACCACGATCGAATACTTTCATTAACAAGAGTGATTTGCTGGCTGTGATAAACTTTTAAACTTTACACCCTGTATGGTGTGAGATTTGACTGAGAAACAAAAAAAAATCTTGGAATTTTGGAGAATAGAAGTTATAAAATAGAAAAACAAACAAACTGATTCTCGATTCCACAGTTTAAGAAATAAACAATATGTTCACTTCGATGTATATTTGATTTGGTTCGCAACTTAGTGTTTCTATTGGTCAGAAAATACATTTGATTGGCGCCATTACGCTAATCATGTGCGTAATAAGATATGCGTGAAAGTCTATCTTGTGACATAAGGACAAGCGATAAAGCAAAGCAAAGCATATTCTCCAGCGATTGTAGGAATTAAAAGAAAAAGGATTTTCTTTTCAATTTGTTTTTGTTCTAACTTATTTTTATGTCAAGTTAATGTGCTTATGCTTATGCTGATGCTTGCGTCATTTGCTTTATTGCCTTCTTTTGTATTTTCTTTTTATTCTTTGTTTATCCTTATTCTTATGTCGCTATTGAACACCAGTGGCTTATTAGATGAAACATGGTAGCCGGGATTCAGCCAAGCGTTAATTTTAGCGAATGAAAACGATTCAATACGAGCAATTTCACAGTATTTTGATTTAATAATAACTACACAAAACATTTGAAATTAAAACAACCAGTTTGGCCTAATTTGAAAATTACGACAGGAATTACTTGTGGTGCTGAACAAACATTTGTAATTTATACGCTTGAAGTTTTGCCTCCTATCAATTCCTCGTAATCATTTTACGCCTCACTGAATCTCGGTTAACCGGGATCATGTAATCAAAAATTTTCAATGGAGTGTGAATAGTGTTTGTCCTCTAATCCGTGTCCAAGTCAATAAATATGGTAATATACCTAAACAATCTAATTATTCAGAAGTTATGCATCACATGTAAATCAAAATGTTAAAACACAAGCTATACAAGTTATTAAAAAGTGTTTGGAGAAGATTAACTCCTTTAGGTAAGCTTTTGAGGAAAATTTAATTTGTAAGAAAGCCACTAATATAAAAAAACTTTTGTCTAACACATAAAGTTCTCGCATTAGTACGTTTTGATGCCATAAGTAGACTGAGCACGAGATAACATTGCAAAAAGAGGTTTTCAGTGAGAGAAATAGGAAAAAGTTTACTTTATTGATACAAATCTTAGCACATGTTAATACATCTTCAATTTTTTTTACTGAGTATTGTTTATCTAATGAATTTGGTAGCTATATCAATGTTAAAATTAAGTGCTTATAATTAACAGTAGACTTGCCAATTGGCATATAGGAAGGTAAATTACATTATTATTAGTTAAAAGTCTTTGCAATAGTATATTTTTTGTGATATAGAAGCTCCCATACTTCAAGGTAAGTGCTTATTTTTCTTGTGCAGTTGCTACATGAAATGCTTTTTTTTGGTCATTGTGATATTTTGCTGTTTTACATGTTCCTACTCATACTTCACTTGTTTTATTTGTTTTACTTTCAATTATCTTCAAGTTTGTTAGATGGTTCAGACAACAGATCTTTGTCACCGTGAAAAATTTTTTCGTAAAAAAATCCCAATATACGAACGTGAAATGCCAATCTAAAACCCATAAGAATGAGTTTAAGTGCGTTTAAGTCCTTTAATTCATCATGAAAAGAATCTTCCAGGATTGGCGCCAGTTCTTCCACAGTATCCCGTAATACAGACGAAAACTTAACCAATATTTCGACAAAATATATAAAAACTGCAAGCCAATAGAACCAAATCTTACTTACTTTTAAAAAGCTTGCGAGTCCATTTGCTCCATTTATTCCATTTGTTCCATTTGTTCCATTTGTTCTATTTGATCCATTTGTTCCATTTGTTCCATTTGTTCCATTTGTTCCATTTGTTCCATTTGCTCCATTTGTTCCATTTGTTCCATTTGCTAAATTTGTTCCATTTGTTCCATTTGTTCCATTTGTTCCTTCTGATCCATTTGTTCCATTTGTTCCATTTGTTCCATTTGTTCCATATGTTCTATTTGATGCTTTTGTTCCATTTGTTTCACTTGTTCCTTTTGATCCATTTGTTCCATTTGTTCTATTTGTTCCATTTGTTCCATTTGTTCCATTTGATGCATTTGTTCCATTTGTTCCATTTGTTCCATTTTTTCCATTTGTTCCATTTATTCCATTTGATCCATTTGTTCCATTTGTTCCATTTGTTCCTTCTGATCCATTTATTCCATTTGTTCCATTTGTTCCATATGTTCCATTTGATACTTTTGTTCCATTTGTTTCACTTTGTTCCTTTTGATCCATTTGTTCCATTTGTTCTATTTGTTCCATTTGTTCCATTTGTTCCATTTGATGTATTTGTTCCATTTGTCCCATTTGTTCCATTTGTTTCATTTGTTCCATTTGTTCCATTTGTTCCATTTGTTCCATTTGTTCCAATGGATGCATTTGTTCCATTTGTCCCATTTGTTTCATTTGTTCCATTTGATCCATTTGTTCTATTTGTTCCATCTGTCAAAATCTGAGGTACAAAATTTATAACACTGACAAGTGCTGTAGTAATTGGAACCCAAAGAAGAAAAAGTAAAGCCGCAAAAGCTTCTGTCCCAGAAACTAAGCGCCATAGGTAAAACCCTAATGTCAGTACCATTAGGAACAACAAAGAAAAAAAAGAGCCTTTTTTACAAATATTTTTCCATTTTTCTTTGACAAAGGTGAACTCATCATCGCATATAAATACTAGGATAAGTATTAGCGATGATACGATGGATAGGGAAAGCCATGCTTCGATCCAGGACACAGCATCACCAAACTTATGATCTTGTTTACAATTCAAAACCGACTTTTTCTCATAAATCATGCAACGCCAATCGTAGATTACAAATATAACAGTAGCAATAATGCGAGGTATGATCATCACCAAGAAAAGTTGCTGAAACACAAACATGTAATGAATTAGTAAGTAGATATTTAGCAATAATTAAGCCTCGTTATTTATGCCAAGTCAAGCGAATTAGGAGCAAATTAAATTTCTAGAAAACTAGCTTACGTAATATTTTTGCATGTAATTCAAATATAAAAAATAGTTAAAGAAGCAGAGGTTACATACTTGAAAAGGCCGTCGAATGCTTTCGACTTTAATCAAAAAATGGTTTCACTGAAATTAGTGTACGCTTTAAACATCAATTTCAAATTTCAAAATAAAAACTTCAATATACTATACTTAAGGATAATGAAAACGCTTGAAATCGTAAGGTTATTACCAAACATTTTATGACAGAAGTTCTTAAAAGTGCAAAAAGGAACCAATTTGTTTTATTGGTCAATATGATCAAATGTCAGCACAAATATGCAACAACAAACGAATGAAAACAACTTTTTAATTTTTTTTGTAATAAACACCGATTTAATGTTCATTTGCTCTTCGATAAAAGCAGCAGTTTCATCAGTTGTCGCTTTGCAGTAGAATCTCCTAACACTACACACGCGTGCTGGGTATGAAATCTCGAATTCATTTATTTATTTCATGTAGAGTTGAATGTATATTAGCTCAACGCGCGTAGGTCACTCCAGTGTTTTTTTGTTTACACAATGAGCGCTCGAGGTTGCTATGGAAATTGCAGATCAACCTTAAAACATCAGGTCGACATGTAGAGCACTGGGCTGATGTCATCAATCTAATTATAGATCGATTTCATGAATGATATTACAGTTGACTGTTATCGCCATGATTTTATTTTGATGTTTATGTGAGACATAGACAAAAAACAACTTTTATAACCATAGGCGGCCCAGAAAATTTTACACTTATGTATGTTCTCGCAGTGCAATTTATTCCATGATTTATATGCAATGTTTCTCACGCGCGCTTTCTCGCGTGAGTTACACGTACGTATGTTCTCGCATTATAGACTGGCTAAATTTTTGTAAAAGCAATAAACAGCAATGGAACTCGGGCGAGATAGCGCGCGTGACAAACATTGCATATAAATCAAGGAATATCTTTGCTAAATAAATCGATTGCATAAAAAACCTGAACAGATTTCTTGGCTGCTTATGCTATAATGACAGCTTTCATTGTTCGTGTGTCTGCCAAAAGTACAAAAACAAAACATCTTAAAAATTGTCAAGTAAAAATTGCTTATATAAACCTGCAAAGCTGAAAAAACATTGTGCAATTTAAATATCGAAACTTTTAGGTTGAATTACGCTTTGTAACTAAAGAATTCTATACAACAACTACCTAAGGTATCAATTGTATTGTACAAGTTTCATCCCGAAGATCATAAAACCGTATTTGAAAAGCATCAAGATCTTAAACTACGCAATTATTTATTACATCATTAAGGAAGAGTCAAGCAAAAGTTACCTTAAGGCATGTTAAAAGGTCCAATCGTGGTCTCGGGCATATCAATGAACAAATGCGATAATATATTTCACTGCACATTCTGATAAGTTGCATCCAAATTTGGCATCCAAATTCTTGGATTTTACTGACGCAAAAAACTAAGCAAGACTTAATACTGGATGCAATCAAGCATACAGGAAAATAAATAGCAAAAATTATACAGCAGAAGAACTCAATTATCCATTTACATCCAGTATTAAGACAGTTGTTTTCTCTTTGATTTCCCACGGGTGAATATGAAGACGACGACATTATCCAGGTCTGTTTTCAAGAAAAAAATCCATCACTATGGCAATACTTGGAGAAATTTTAACGGAAGTTAAAATGAGCACATTATTCCAACAAACAACTCCTTATCAAGAATGTCATACCGTATATTATTTATTATCAAAAAGGTCAACATTTCATTTCCTATGTTTTGAATTTTCATGACATTTTTAAACGTCACCGAGATTCTTTTTCGTTACTTTCCGTGTAAAAAAAATGATGCATTTAACGTAAACGACAACTTTTTTTAAATTTTTTATTGCACACATGTTTCGGCAAACTTATGATATCTTCAGTGCGGTATAATGAATGAATATTTGAATGGAGTTAATATATAAAGAAATTTGATACAAGACATGTGTATAGACAAAAGGGATGGAAGCGAAAGTTATTTACAATTATGTAGTGATTGGAGGTGTTAAGTATTTACAAGTTTAAGATAGTCTTGACATGCTGAATTTTTTTGTTAAGATTAGGCTTGAGTTTTTTTATGTACAGTGCTTCTTTTAGTTTTAAAGTCAAAATAAGTAATCGAAATGAGTAATCAAAATAGTAGTCGTTTTGATTACTCATAAGATGACTACCTTTAAGGTTGTCGAAACGTCAGTCAACAACAACAAAAACAGTCCTTCTCAGTACTATACCAACCTGGACGATCTACATTTACAAACATGTAACGATACTCCGGGGTTCAAACCATTTACTTTAGATTGAAAGAAGCAAAAGAAAGGAGCAATGTAAGTCAGGTAGTCAAATACAACCAAATTCGATCAACCCCATCACTCTCAAATAATTCTAAAAAAAATGATAAACGACATTGGCGCCAACATGCATCAAATTATGAAGGTGGAGCGAAGTCGGATTTTCACTGGCGCGGGAGGTCATACTTCCCAAAGAAAAATGTGAAACGACAAACACACAAGAAATAATTCACCAATTACAACATGAAAAATACACCGGTAGGCAAATGGGAAAATTTTATTCCAAAGTTAAAACAACTCTTAATTACTTTATGTGACAGCTACAAAGCGGGCAGAATAACAAATCCCTTTTCCGCATGGACCGATATTCCATCCGACAAAGAGATCTTATCTAATGTAAAGCCCGCCACACACTGGTGAACTTGCCGCGCGTACTTGTTCAAACGCGTTTGGTATTTGACTCATCTGTCACGAATGACAAATGTTGTTCAAAACTTCCGCGCACACTAAAAAAAATTTTTTTCGATCGCACTTGTCACGAATAACAAGTACGCGCGGCAAGTTCACCAGTGTGCGGCGGGCTTAAAAGGTATGCCAATCGATCTGTCGGAAACGTCTTACCATTGCCCAACAAACTTCAACGAAATTGAATTGTTGCAAATAAAAACTGAGATTGATAGAATGATTACTAAAAACATAATAGAAACCGTACAATACAAACCAGATGAAATTCTCTCAAATATTTTCACTAACTTGAAAAAAGATGGCACAAATAGGGTCATACCAGATCTTAAAGTTTTTAATATTATTGTGTCTTATTCCCATTTCAAAATGGACTCACTAACTACGATTACTAAGCTTGTAGAACAAAACTGCTATATGTGTAGTAATGACCTCAAAGACGCCTACTACTCAATCCCCATAAAATACACTGACAGGAAATACCTGAGATCCACTGGAAGGGTGTATTATATCAATTTATGTGCTTGCCCAACGGCTTATTTAGTGGACCACGGAAGTTCACAAAAACGCTAAAACCCCAATTAACTACATTACACTCCAAAGGGCACATCATCTCGGGACATCTGGATGATTTCTATTTACAAGGAAAAACTTACGATGCATGTCAGAACAATGTGATAGATACAGTGAAATTATTCCTCGTGCATCCAGATAAATCGATATTTATCCCTTCTCGGAAATCAATAACATTGGGATTTGAAATTAACTCTGTCACAATGATTGTGAAATTAACAAAAGAAAAAGTCTCAGCAGTAGAAACAGATTGTATAAACTTTATAGAGAAAGTGAAATGGGGAGTAAAAATTAGAGACACGGCCAAAATAATGGATAAACTAATATCAAGCTTTCCTGGTGTGTTACATGGACCCTTAAACTACAGAAACATAGATAGGGACAAAACTACGGTGGCTCACAAGGGCCACCACACAAAATAAAAATACACACACAAAATAAAAATACACACACAAAATAAAAATACACACACAAAATAAAAATACACACACAAAATAAAAATACACACACAAAATAAAAATACACACACAAAATAAAAATACACACAAATAAAAATACACACACAAAATAAAAATAACACACAAAATAAAATACACACAAAATAGACAGGATGTGTCGACTGATCATTATTAATTTAATTGAAATGTTGTGTAGTGTGTGAATATACCGTATGATAAATTGTAAAATGTTTGTCATATATTACTAGACAAATAGGAAAATACGTATATAGTTATTAAACTGTGGTTTCAGTGGAAATCATGTACGTAATGCCACATTGGGTAGAAAAAGTGCTCCTAAGTATTTTGAATTTACGTACAGGATTTCCACTGAAACCACAGTTTAATAACTATATACGTATTTTCCTATTTGTCTAGTAATATATGACAAACATTTTACAATTTATCATACGGTATATTCACACACTACACAACATAACATGACAATTTACAACAATTACAAACTGATAATATGATAGTCCGACAATCCGACACTGCAAGCGCCCGCAATCATATTTTGTGTGTGTATTTTTATTTTGTGTGTGTATTAATATTTTTATTTTGTGTGGTGGCCCTTGTGAGCCACCGTACAAAACATCTGCACTAACTCTAAGTAAGAGAAACTTCGACACATATATGAGGGTTTCTGCTGAAGCCTTTGCTGAACTACATTGGTGGTCGAATAATGTGATGAATACCATTAAACACATTTCTCATGAGGAACCGTCGCTTACTATTACGACAGACGCTTCAAACAAAGGTTGGGGGGCAGAATTGCAAGGCATTAGCACAGGAGGCCTATGGTCACACCTAGAGACAAAAGAACACATAAATTACTTAGAGTTGCTTGCCTCCTACCTAGGACTACAAACATTTGCACATCCCCAACGCAATGCTCACATCTGTCTTATGATTGACAATACTTCAGCAATGAGCATCATAAACAATATGGGAACTAGCAACTCTGAACGTTGCAACAATCTTAAAAAAACGATTATGGGGATGGTGTATTGCCCTTGAACTATGGGTCAGTGTGGCACACATTTCGGGGAAAAATAACTTATTCCGATTTTGAGTCTAGGCAAAATGAACGAGCCTCTGATTGGATGCTTGATAAAAAATATCTGCATGATGCTTGTAAAGAGCTCGAATTTATGACCGGACATTTATTTATTTGCATCAAGAATCAACAAACAACTCAACAAATACGTTTCTTACAGACCAGATCCGAAAGCTTTATTTGTAGATGCTTTCAGCATAACTTGGTCAGAACATTCATTCTATGCTTTTCCACCTTTCAGTATCATAGCCAACGTTCTACAGAAAATAAGGAACACCAAAGCGCTAGGCATATGTGTGATGCTAAAATGGCCATCTCAATTCTCGTATTCTATAGCTCTTACAATGCTAGAGAAGCCCCAATAGAACTAAAAGCATCACCGAGTCTTCTCATTCTACTCAGTCATTCAACAGAAGTACACCCCCTTTTCAAGAAACTCACATTGATTGTCTGCCTTTTATCAGGAAAAACTAGGATGCCAAAATCTTTCACAGGTTGCTCAAGACATTATCCTATCATCATGGAGAAAAGGTACTACAAAACAATACCGCACTTACCTATTACGCTAGCAGGAGTTTTGTCGATGTAAGGGATTATCGTTATACAGCCCTGGAACGGCGAATGCAATTGAATTCCTAACTGAAATGTACAAATTTGGACTAGGATACAGTGCCATAAACATGGCAACATCTGCACTTTCCTCAATATTACTACCTACTTCAGGTGTTACGTTGGCAAAGACCTCTTAGTTTGCCGGTTTTTGAAAGTGGTGTTTGAACTTAAAGCATGCCTTCCAAAATATACCCACATATGGGATGTTAAATTCGTTCTTAGTTACTTAAATACATTGGATCCAACAAAGGAGATGTCATTGAAAGATATCACAATAAATTTGGCAAATCTACACTGCTTACTGACCGGACAACTATGGCAGACTATACACAAAATTAACTTAAATTTCATACAATTTCATGATGAAGAATGTACGATCACGATACGTGAAACAATCAAACACACAAAGGCAGGTAAACACCAACAACCTATAAAATTACAAAGCTACCCAACCGATAAAAAAACTCTGCATCATAGAGTACCTTAGACAATACATAACTCGTGCTGAAACTTTAAGGGGAGAACAATCGCAACTCTTCATCAGTTTCACCAAACCTTACAATCCAGTGACCAAAGACACCATTGCCAGATGGGTCAAATTAACTTTGGAAAAGTCTGGAATCAACACCAAAAAATTTACATGCCACCGTACTCGGTCTGCCTCAACTTCATATGTTAAAACAGCTGGACTAAACTTGAGACAAATCATGCTATCAGCGGGATGGTCAAATGCTACCACGTTTGCAAAGTACTATGAAAATTATGTTGATACAGACACTTTTGGTAAAGTGGTACTAGACAGGACAGAAAACAATGAAACTTTGCATGCTACTAACAAAATTTTACCATAAGTTAACTTTTATGAGGTTCTGTTAAATACACTTAAAGTGGGGTAATTTATTAATATTCTTTCAAACTGAGTCCTCTCTATAATACATTATTGATTGATGACATTGCATCTAACATATCAATTCCCATCTCACAGCCGCAGAACTTTGATATCTCTTGTGACTCCGTAGTGATGACGTTGTAGAATTCTTAAATTAAACAAGACTTACCTGTAAGTTGATGTTTGATTGGAATTCTACTAGTCACCAGTCAGGAATGAAGGAGTCACATGTCCTGCACTACCCATCCCTCCAGTGACTCATTCGATTCCTTAATTTCTGCTACTGCTCTCGTAGAAAAACTGATCGACAAGCGACGCACGCGCGCTTCTCAGGTGGCTCCTTCGTTCCTGACTGATAACTAGTAGAATTCCAATCAAACATCAACTTACAGGTAAGTCTCGTTTAATATAAGAATTATGTATCAAAGTAAATGGTTTTACCCGGGAGTATCGTTACATGTTTGTAAATGTAGATCGTTCAGATTGGAATAGTCCTGAGAAGGACTGTTTTTGTTGTTGTTGACTGACGTTTTGGCAACCGCTAAGGTTGACTGACTACCGCTAAGGTTGTCGAAACGTCAGTCATCAACAACAAAAGCAGTCTTTCTTAGGACTATACCAACATGGACGATCTACATTTACAACTAATTATGTAACAACTATCAGTCGTCTTAAAAATGACACCAAGTAAATTTTAAATAAAAGAAAATGCGTTTAAAACGTCGGATTTAATTCCGATATCGTAGTTCAAATCAAAAACGTCATAACTTCTGTTAACAATTCAATACAAATTGCGTAGTATTGACAAAAATGGCATTTTGTGATGGTGTTATCATCACATATGCCCATTTTAAATATCATGTGAAAATAGTTGAAAATTGCCAATGAGGTTAAGAACGATATCAAGAACTATTCAGACTGAAGTCAAATTGTTTCATTGTACATTAATAAATGCAGAAACTTTCAATATTCTGTATGGAAGTCATAAAGTCTTCCATATTTTGACATGAACCGGCTTTTTGTGTCTTTTTTTAAGTCTTTCTTCAATAATTCGAGTAAAAACAGTTTGTAAAACGCTTAAAAATCTCAAACAAGATTCCCACCGAATACTTCTTACGATGTCATTAGCCACTTGAAAACTGCGTCACCTAAAATTGACTTCCGTTTGCTCAACCTCTGTCAGCATTTTATCAATTTTAGCTATAAGGGTGTCTCAAAGAGCACATCTTTGATGACATTTACAATCTGACATTTAGAATCTGACAATCCTATAAAGAGTCTTAAACGCAGTTGAATTCAATAATTTATACGTATTTAAGCTAAGTTATTTTGTATTTTATCTTTATTTCAAGCTGTTTCTTTTAGATTGATCTTTTAAGCAAACATTTTTTGGCTTTTGCTTGCCAGCTTCTGAGCTTCAGAAGTACGACTAAAGTTCACAATAGTTCTCATTTTCGACATTTTTTAACAAAGTAGCTATATTCACTGCTGCGTAAACGGACTTTGGTCGGCTACATAATTTACAGTAGTGTTATGAAAAACTTAAATAATAAAAAAAATTTCGATATTACTACAACTTTAAAAGGCTTTCGTAGTTTAGTGTAAGTGTTATGGGTTTGGTAAGATGCGATATCGGGTTTGAAACTAGCTTTTGTCATCATATTTTGTTAAAAATTATAAATATTTATTTCTTCATAAAATGAACTTTATCTTTAATTTTTTTTCCAATAAAACAATATAGCTCGGAAAAACCTCTTTATGAGAAAATCTTCAATATTTCATTTAATATTTGTGTATTTCTGTATTTGTATACTTATTATTTGTGTATTATACATTTGTGAATTTCATATATTATTTGCGACTTGCGTTATACATACTATGGTATAAAGTATTAAAAACAAGCAATAAAAGTACATATTAACCAACCTTGACAATCTTAACAATTTGACTTTCTTCTTTTATTTTCTTATTTGGGTGCAGAACACGCGGACTCAAGTTTAGTGATCTTGATGCGACAAACCTCTTTTGGAAAATGAAACTGCGCAATATTGTCATTCCATTCTCCCCACGTCGTTACAGATGGTTGGTTCAATGATTCTACATATTTCATCAAAAATTCTAACAACAGTGGAGCGCAATGTTCTTAATGTTCACTTAAATGAAGTTGAATCAAAGAGCAATTATGTACACACAATTTTAAAGTGAATAGTTTGAGCCCGGAGTGTCATAATATGTTTGGAGATGTCCTTTAGAAAAGTTTAACCCAATTTCAGCACTTTGGTATGTGTTAAACTCTAAATTATCAATCAAACAAAGATACAGTTTTGAAATATTTAAAGACAATAGTGTTTATAGTCTTTGGAATTTTATGTTGCTTGATGCTTTTATAAAAAAAATAAGCAAGTGCAAGCTCCTGGACGTTTTTGTCAAAAATTGCGCTCTTTCACAAATCACCATTGAGAATTGAGTATGAACGTTTTAGCCTAAATTTTTTGTTTAGCTACTTTGTGTTGTATGTTTGATTAGATATTGTATTGTCGATGTTTATGTAAAATTAGTCATTATGTAAAAGTGCAAAGGGTATTCGACAAGAGAACTTTTCATAAAACTGCCAGTAAAATCGTAGGAAAAAGCAAATAATTAGGAGTAAACAAACTCTGGTATACAAAGTTCTGGCTCTTTCAGGGCATTTTGAAATATTGAACTATATAACTACTGGGATATTTACCCCAGTAAACTTTCCCCTGTAGTGAACCTCGATCGTGATATACTGGTAGAATGGCTCTATTTCTAACCACAAAGGAGGATTTTGGTTATGAAATATAACACATTATTATTGAAAGTACTTCAAGGAAATATACTTAGCTGTGTGATAGATTAGTTAAAAATTTCATAAGACCTCAGCATAAACGAACTATTGACTCGTGAAAATTGTATCAGAATGATCTTACATAAGCATAAATAATACACGAAGTACATAATAGTCAATATTCGAATGAATGTTTATTCAAAATTATGTGGAAAACAAAGTACTAACATCTAATATAAACAGGTTTTGCAACGTCCTCTACAGAGTTGATTTGAAATTGGTTCATAATCAACTTGAAGTCAATCCTTAATGCAAAAACCTCTACAGAGATGATTACTGATAGTAGAGACCATTTTACCCATATTTTCGGAGCTGTCATATTTGGACAGATTGTTAAAGATTTCTGGCAGTCATATTCATAAATAAATGTAAACAGTATATATCATGTTGCTAATATTCAATATGTTGGTATAGCCATAGCCATGTAAATTTTGTATAGTATATAATATAGTTAACTATACTATGTAGTTAGTAACAGTTTTTGTGTTGAGAAATTACTTTTGTTTAATAAATATATATGAAATGAGAATAAACACCTTTTAACTTAAGTTAATTTTATATTTGTTTTGACAATGTGCCTTTACACTCACTTAAACTCTACTGAATTCTTTGGAATCTTTTCTGATGATTCGAAACAGTTCCTCTACTTATTTTACAAAGAAATAAAAGCTGGACGCCGTATAGCTATCTCAAAAACTAAAAAAAAGTTATTCATTAGATATGTTTTTCAAAAGTTATGCATCCATTGTTGTTGACCACTTTACACAATAATTTACTCATCTTCTATAACTTGGTATAAAAGTCAATCCCGTTCCATCAGTTAAAGATATTGGTTTTACTTTAGACAGTCCCTGCATTTTTAGAATTAGTGGTGACCATTGAGTTCTATAATAATTGGAGCAGCTATCTCAAGCGCGGATTTAGATATCGGATGTTGTAAAAAATATGGCGGATTTCGTCCTCCTCCGCTGAGGTTTACAGAAAAAGACAGCTTTTCCAAAAATTTCACAATTTTCCTCTGCTCCCTTAAGAAAGGAGCAAGGAAAACGTATGTGTAATATTTGGCATTTGGCATGCAATTTTTGATGAAAATTAAGGTAAAAACTTAAAATTCATAACAGCGAGTCAACAATCTACTAAATCATTTTGATAAAGATATGACATGATTTAACCTTTTTTCAGTTATATAAAACCTAATGGCTTATACAGTTTGAAGCTTCACATCTGCATTGAGTTATCATCAATCTCAATACCAATATTTACATAAACACAAATTTTATCACCATCCCATTTTATGACATTTCATAAAGCATCGAAACACACAACCTTCTTGCCATCTTTCTTTTGGTACTTGAACTTTAATTTCAAAACATTCAAGAAATCCTTAGTGAATCCATTGTTTCCGTCCATAGAATTTGACAATGATCAAATTAAATAACTCTGGATAGGACTCTGTCTGGTCATTAACATCTTCCAGTCATCTTTTCTACCTGATCTTCCCTGCATGTTGTCAGCAAGTAGAACATAACAAGCTCTGCTCCAAATCATGGGTTCTGTTTGGGCTGATTGTTTCTTTTTTATATTTACCCAGAGTAAAATGTGCAAGGTCTTTTTGCGTCAGGGAAACTATTTTGTAAATAGATTGGTAAATTCGCGATTTCATACATTAGCAAATAACAGAAAAGTATGCTGAGCTTTATAGACAAAAACAAGAAAATATCAGTATATTTGGCGTTCAAGTCAGTCTTAAAAATACGATCATACGGGTTTTCTCGCTTTTTAAGTGTATAATTGCTTTTCAATCGTTGATGAACAAAGCGAGATGGTCCTTTTTGTGGAAACTACAAGATCCAACAATTGAACAATGGAAGTGTTGGCTTTGTAAAACAAATGCGAAAAATATATCTTGTTTGTTTTTGAAAAATTCTATATGATTGTCTTAGATACCAGGGGGAGGTCGAGACAAGTTTTTTTCTGCAAAGCGAACATTTCACGGAAATAGGTCCTTTGGCCTCCATTTTATCAATGCAGTTCCCAGTCCACTTAGTCGCTTCAGTTATTATAGAACTCAATTTTGGTCACCAGTAATTACTAATTCGGAGGTTTGATCTTAAAGATGCTGAAATGACTTCTAAGTGTCTATCCATTTAAATTCCAAGCAATATTCTACAGTAGTTCAATCTTCGAAACAATTTCGTTTTTTACACGTCCTTAGAGTGAGTCATGTAAAATGTGAAAATAATTTCTATGCCTTGAATTGTTTCATGAATTTGTTGAGATTTTTTGACAAAAGAGAGTACAACTAAGCCATTTTTTACTTACAAACTTCATAAAATACAGAAAAATTTGTCTAATCCGGAACATATTAAATGTTTGCCATCTTAAATAAGCTCTTGGAAGTGTTTTTTATTAAAACAACAAAGTATTATGAATCTAAACGACTTTTAACGAACAAGGGGAACATCTAGACGAGAATGTGGAATTTGCTAAGAGTATCAACTAGCTAGCTTAGGACGGCAAGTTACATTACCATTACCTATAAATTGCTGCAATATTATTTCTGTTAAGATATGAAACCTCCTAATACGTAAAGTAGGTGTTCATTTCTCTTGTACAGTTGCAACATTTTGGTATAATCATTGATACTTGCAGTTCTACCTATTCCACTTGTTTTACCCGTTCCATCTGTTCCACCTACTTCACGTATTCCACCATTTCCACCTCTCCTACATGCTCCATCTGTTTCACTTTTTCCATCAGTTCTCCCTGTTCCACCTACTTCCCCTTCTCCATCTGTTCCCTCTATTCGACCTGTTCCATGGAAATGCTACTTCTTTGCATTTAGATACGTTGAGTTTCATTTTGTTTTGGGATGTCCAGGCATTGATTTCATTAAAGACGTTTTGTAAATTGCTGCTGTAATTATGTGGGATGCTTTCAGAAGCAGTACAGTCATCGACAAATTTCCATCAATCCGGACAATATTCTAAAAAATCGTAGATCATTACTAGGAAAAGTACCCGACTCAAAACTGTTCCATGGGGTATACCACCGTTGATTGTTCACCACTCAGAGAGGCAATCGTTTAGTTTCACGCATTGTTTTCTTCCAGTTAGGAGGTTTCTTATCCAGTTCTTTATTTTATCAGAGACTTTCATGTTTTCCAACTTCTTCAGTAAAATGTTGTGGTCAATAAGATTGTCGGTTTCACAAAGCAGGTGGTGAACGAAACTGTTAAGGAGAATTAGGAATTGATCCAAATTGTTTTAGATCAATGACATCCCATATCGAGTCAAAAACACATTCAGTTACAAAACGTTCACAAATTTTAGATAGAGTTCAATATGAAAAGATTGAATGGAGGTCTTATTTAGTTTTGGAGTTTTAAGGATCGGAATTTTGTCAGCTTGTTTCCATTTACTAGGTATTTGCTGTTTGAATAGACTCGTCGAATATTGAAGCAGTTAGGGCAGCCAGGCAGTTGCACATACTTTAAACATCCAGTTTGGTAAGTCTTCCGGGCAAGGAGATTTGCCGGAATTTAAACATATAAGTTTTTTGTAAACATCCTCTTCACTAATGATAAATAATGAATTAAACTCATGTTCTACATTCACAGGAGTGGGTTGCAAGGGGGCAATATGCTGTGTTACAGTCGAGAAAATGTCATTTGTTTTATCCGCTAAAGGTTTTCCAGAGTAAATTTCATTGTTGATAAGGCAGGTAGAGATTTGGAATTTTTTTGTGTTTCCAGTTAAGGCTTTAATAGAATCCCACCACTTTTTGGGGTTTGGATTCGACTTAAGCTGTTACAGTTTACGTTTAAGAAAAGACAATTTCAACGTTTTACTTTGCTTGGCTTGAACACATATTTAGCGTTCCATTACAAAAAAGGAATTCTAAAGTTCTAAAGCAAACAGAAAATATACAAATGTCTCATGACATATAAAGTACATACCTTTAACAAACCTCACTTGCTCGGTATTTATCGAGAATTATCGAGCTGGTAAATACATAAAATATACACAGACAATAACGTAGCGAGTTTGGTCGCGCAATGTGAATTACAGAAGATTGTCATTTTTTTTTAGAAATCTATTTTTCGTGAAGTGAATGAACGCAGACATATTTACATAGCACGACATAACTTGCGAACTGGCATCTACATTTAAAAAACCATGCCTCTTAATGTACAGAGACTGACAATATAGAGCACGAAAGTATGGAAATTATGTTCCACATTTCTCTTCAGTATAACTGTTATAAATCATGTCAACCATCAAACCATACCTCTCAGGTGAATATCGATAAGAGAAAAACATTCTCGAGGCTCGTTGTGATAAATATTCTCTAGATAATTCTTTACAAGACTAGTAAACTGCCTATTCTGTCCATTCTGCTATTCACGTAAGCAACTACTTCATGTATACATGTTTGTAGATGTAGATCGTCCAGGTTGGTAGAGTCCTGTTGATGTTGATGTTGACTGACGGTTTGATGACCTTAGCGAAAGTCAAGAGCGACCTGATTTGACTCTGAAGATGACTACCGCTAAGGTTGTCGAAACGTCAGTCAACAACAACAAAAACAGTCCTTCTCAGGACTCTACCAACCTGGACGATCTACATCTACAAACATGTAACGATACTCCCGGGTTTATATCATTTACTTTAGTTCATGTATAGTCAACAACATACAATAGAGTCACTCCACGTCATATCATCAGACGGTTGTAGCCCTAATCTTTCGATTTTTGCTTATTTTTACACGAATGATAGATATATGTACAAAATGAACACATGAAAAGCTTGAAGTTAATATCTTAAATGGTGATGGAGTAATCTGGTGTTGAAACTTGAGATTTACATACTTCAGTCTAGTGCCTTCATCTGGAGTGACCTGAAGTTGAAACTAGAGTCTTTATATTCTCCGGTGTAGTGTCTTCATTACCAGTGTCCTGATGTTGAAAATTAAGTTCTTACATACCTCAGTCTAGTGTCTTCATCAGGAGTGATTTGATATTGAACCTTGAGTTCTTATATACTCTAGTCTAGTGTCTTCATCAGGAGTGATCTGATGTTGAAACTTGAGTTCTAACATACTTCAGTCTAGCGCCTTCATCTGGAGAGACCTGATGTTGAAACTTGAGTTCTTATATACTCTAGTCTAGTGTCTTCATCAGGAGTGACCTGATGTTGAAACTAGAGTCTTTATATTCTCCGGTGTAGTGTCTTCATCACGAGTGACCTGATGTTGAAACTTAAGTTCTTACATACTTCTGTCTAGTGTCTTCATCAGCAGTGATCTGATGTTTAAGCTTGAGTTATTATATACTCCAGTCTAGTTTCTTCATCATGAGTGATCTGATGTTGAACTCTCAGTTCTTATATACTTTAGTCTCGTGTCTTCATCAGGAGTGACCTGATGTTGAACCTTGAGTTCTTACATACTTCAGTCTAGTGCCTTCATCTGGAGTGACCTGATGTTGAAACTAGAGTCTTTATATTCTCCGGTGTAGTGTCTTCATCTCGAGTGACCAGATGTTTAAACTTAAGTTCTTACATACTTCAGTCTAGTGTCTTCATCAGCAGTGATCTGATGTTTAAACATGAGTTATTTTATTCTCTAGTTTAGTGTCTTCGTCAGGAGTGATTTGATGTTAAAATTTGAGCTCTTACATACTTCAGTCTAGTGTCCTTATCAGGAGTGACCTGATGTTGAAACTTGAGTTCTTATATACTCCAGTCTAGTTTCTTCATCATGAGTGATCTGATGTTGAACCCTCATTTCTTATATACTCTAGTCTCCTGTCTTCATCAGGAGTAACCTGATGCTGAAACTTAAGTTCTTATATACTCTAGTCTAGTATCTTCATCAGGAGTGATCTGATGTTGAAACATGAGTCGTTATATATTGCAGTCTAATGTCTTCATCTGGAGTGATCTGATATTTGATCTTTAGTTGATATAACTATGTAAACTCCAAGAACATTTCAGAAGTCCATCAATCATTTCTCAGGAATTTTCGCATATTTCGATAATAACAACCATACCAAATGCGTGCAATTTTCCATCATTGAAATCTCTCATAAGATATAATAAATCCTTCTCCATTCGCTTAACTTCGCTAGGATCCATAAGGAATGCACGCTGTTGTACAGGATTTGCACTTTCACCTGCATCAGTTCTCACTGCTTTTTGCTTTTCTTTGCTACCATACATTTGCAGAATATCAAGAATTGCTATAAAAACAATAACATTTACTAAAGCGAAACGTTTATCTACCAACTGCGCAAGCGTAAGAAGCTTTCTAAAAAATGTGTAAAACATAGATCAGGGGTGGGCAACATACGGCCCGCCGACTGTATCCGTCTATATCTGTGATTAAGATATTGAATATTATTCTTATAATAATCCGGCCCACCAATAACTTCATTTTCCTTAATCTGGCCCGCCGACTGGAGAAGTTGCCAACCCCTGACATAGATGCTCAACGCGTACGTTTCAAAAATGTTATAATAGTTTCTGTGATTTAGCTTAGAAATTTAAGGTTTTCCTTTTTACTCCATAGCACTTTTTCTTGGACTTAATTTGGAATTCTGACAATTAAGGATTTTTTATTAATTTGGTTAATGTAAAATATTACTTCTCGTCAAGGCTTGTGCGCAGTTCAACTTCTAGTCACTAAGTTGTTCTTTGCTGATTTTATTTTGATTAGCATGATCTAGCGTGACCAAACTTTTTTCACCGGGTTAATCTATTAAAGTTTGTTTCTTCTATTTTAAATGTCGACAGTTCCATTATCAATATTTTTTGTTCAGATAAAATGCTCGCCTTTCATTTTTAGGTGTTTGCAGAAGATCAGTACGAAATATTGAAATATGAGCAGAATAGAATTACGTGCATAAGCTAATTGAGCTTCATCAATATCAATCAATACACATCTAAAATTTACAAAGAAACTAAGCAGTGAAACTGGGTTTTCTAAACTAGGCTTAATTCTGCTACCTATTTTGAAGTTGCGCTAAAATAATTTTCATAAAAAAAATTTAAAAGTCATAATATATAATACAGAAAGTGTTATGGGAGTGTCGTTACATGTTTGACAATGTATAGATCGTCTGAGAGGGACTGTTAGTGTTGGAGTTTACTGACGTTTAGAAAAAATTATTTGTTAGTTGTCAGCTTTCTGCAGATTGTTTGACATATATATTTATATGTGGGTACACTGTTATTTGGGATTGGTATTTAG